TCCCCCCCCCCCCCCGTCCTAAATAACTTCAAAAATGTTCCCTTCTTTGCAAAGGTCTCAATCTATGTTTTGAATACTTCATTTATATTGCAATATTTATAACACATCCCCATCCTAACACTCTGAATGGAGTACAACAAAATCAATCACAAAAGACGAACACAAAAGTAAAAGCTCAATATAAATAATTCAAGAAATATAGTTATTTATTTATTGTGTATCCTGACATTATTTTTATTTTTATAAATAACTCAAGTCAGCAAACATACTTAATATCCCTTTCTCCTCCTACTTTCCCCACAACAACCCTGTGGGGTGAGCTGGACTGAGAGAGAGTGACTGGCCCAAGGCCCAGCCAGTCTTTCATGCTTGAACCAGAACTCATAGTCTCCTGGTTTTTAATCTTATGCCTTAACTACTAGACCAAACAGCAAAGTAATCTAATCTAATCTAATTTAATCATGCATAATGCCAGTTGGTACAGCCATTTATATCTCTTGGGAGAGGGCTTTTCATAAAATGTGAGCTACCAAGAAAATATCACTATCACCGTGTATCTTACAAGGACTGGAGATCTGCATCAAGTCCTCACTTGATGACCAGGTGGATGGGTTCAGTTCTGCCATATAGTATTTATAGGTATATCTTGGAACTATCCCACAGAAAAGATAAAAATAACAACTGACATCATTAAGTGAAATGTAAACTTTTCTTACTCTGTGTAGCTTCTTGTCTAATACCTTGTGATGAATTCTCAAATGGAGCAAGTCACAACTCCCTAAAGGAGGAGGTTGTCGACACACAATTTAATCTTTCTGGAAAAGAAACACTGCTCTGGGTTTAGAGTGGGGGATTGATCTGGTAACCCAGCTCTCACTTTATTCATAAGAGAGGAACAAAGGAGGCAGCAAATTTTAGGTAAACAGTATTTTCACTCAATTCAAAATGAAGCAGTTGCTTAGGAACAAAATGAGGAAGCATTTTATATAACAAAATCTTGAATTAAACCTTTTGGCAGCAGAAATATGTGGAAGCTCTACTGAACTTCCTTCTTATAGTGTATTGTTATTTGTGATGTATTATGTATGTCTATTGAATCACTTTCAAAATAAAGGGCAATGATGCCCATGGCAGAACATAGCATTACAATATGAAATCTACTTTGAGACATATAGGCAGGGTACATTGCAAACAATAAACTGGTCCATAATGGTGCCGTAAAATAAATCCCAAGGGCAGTATTAAATGATCATCTGAAACAGTTGTAACATGAATCCTATATTGTACAATGTGTTTGGTTACTAAAACAACATGTATGTTGTAATAACTATAAACCTCCTTTAATATTAGAATAAACAAAAAGATGACAATATTAAACAATAATAAAAGAATCAAAAGCTTATTATCATATATTTTGTGAATCATAATCCACAAATCTTATGATATAAAATGTTAGTTTTATAATTTAAACTTTACTTTAACTTGCCACACTCTTCCTGTTTTTGTTGCAGAAAAATAGCATGGCACCCCCTCTGAATACAAGAAGTCTTCAATTTATGTCCAATCATTTAACAACCATTTGAATTTACAAGAGTACTGAAAAACGTATGGACGTCTACTATTTACAACTGTAGTAGTGGCCCCCTAGCCACATGATAAAAATTCGGACACCCTGCAACTAGCATGTATTTATGGCAGTTGCAGTGTCCCAGGTTCATGTGATTGTAATTTACAACTTCCTGGGGGTTCCAACAAGCAAAGTCAATGGGGAAAACTAGATTTGCTTAACCACCACATGGTTCACTTAATGACCGTGGTGACTTGCTTAACAACTGTGACCAAAAAAGTGGTAAAATCAGACATGACTCACTTAATGAATGCATTGCTTAGTGATGGCAATTCTGGTCTCAATTGTGATCATAAATCAGGGACTACCATTACGTGCAATAAAAATCTTTCAGAACAGGTTGGCTGTTCTTAGCAAAAGTCTCTGTTATACTTCCAGCATGTCAGTTTGTTAGAGACCCATAAATTGGATGTACCGAAACATATGACCAAGGGATTGACATGGGTGGCAGAGAAGGGGAGCAATGACAGGAAATGTGTGATGATGTAATTATACAAAATGCTGTGACTAAAGTAATCACAGCATTTTTGTGATTATGTTATCATGTACATATTGTTATTTCGGTATCATTACAGTTTGCTGCAGATGTCAGTGGAATTGATTTGAAACAGATTTCAACGAAACTTGAGTGGTGATTTATCTTTGCAACACTGTACAGCCAGCTACTATATGGTGGTTCAATCGTATCAAAAGGCAAAACTTATTTTTGCACTTTTCATGAATTACATACAACTTGGGGTACTACAGTTCACCAATTTGGAAAAGACAATTTAGACGATTTTGTCAGTCAGGTGCTCAGTTCATTTTCCCACACATTCCAAAGCACCTTTTCTAAACTGAATCTGAAGCATTCCACCGTCAAATTACTTATATAGAATCTTTGAAGTGCTAAGAGCAGTTTAGATAATGATCACTGAAACAATGCATGTGTGCATTTCTAAATATTGCACCATGTTATAAGTTAGGGTAGAGAGAAGGAAAATGTGTCTATACCTGTTAAACAAAATTAGAATGCCAAATTTCTACTGCAGAATTTTGTAATAATTCCATGTATGAATTTGAACTAAGTTATCTATAGTTTAATTAATGTTTGTGAAATCTGATTGTTCTATTCTAAATCTGGATGTTATATGGCAGTGGTAGCGAACCTATGGCACGGGTGCCAGAGGCGGCACTCAGAGCCCTCACTGTGGGCACGCACGCCGTCGCCCCAGTCCTAGGCCTTCAGCTGGGTTTTATAAAACCTTTTCGCTTTAGGCCTCTGCCGCCGTGTGCAAAAAAAAAAAAAAGGTTCAATCAATCAGTCAATTTCAACTTCTTGCGGGGAAAAAAAAAGATCTTGCAAAGTTGGAATTGATTGATTGAACTTTTTAGTCCCACCCAGTCTGCCGTTACCACCGCAGCCACGCCTACCCAATGGGCCACACCCAGCCAATGGGCCACACCCAGCCAATGGCCACACCCACTTGGCACCCGACGATGCATAAGTGGGTTTTGGGTTGCAGTTTGGGCACTCAGTCTCTAAAAGGTTCGCCATCACTGTTATATGGGAACTCCTATCTGCAATCTCAGGGTACACTAGGTGCCTTTTCTATGCTGGAGCAGGACTGATAACTGTCATATTTACTTGTAGTAGTTTGTATTTCAACTGTTACCTTTTTTTCTTTCTACATATGCTCAAAGATATCTAATGTTCTCTTTGCTTCTGCAATGATTCTTTTTATCTTCCTGAAGATTTTAGTTCCCATGTATGCATACTCATTTAAAAATGCTATTTACAACAGAAATCTAGTCTTCAGGACATCATAGTAACAATTATATCCGTTAACTATAAAACAACTGCCTATTTAATAGCACATGGAAGCTATAAATTATAATTAATTTCAACTTTATTTCTACAGTGAAAGAAAAGTTATATCCAAGTAACAAGGGGTCTTCCACCATGAATGCATGTATGCAAATGTTTGGACATATCTAGTGAAACTGAATGTTCCAAAGAGTTACTAAATCAGCAGAAGCAGATATAACCTCTGTACAGTACATGTATATGTATTAAACATCACATCCTGAAGGGAGGCACTGTGGCTCAATGGCTTAATGAGCTGGAAATGGTCTCTGCTCCAGCAGTTTGAGCTTCAGCATCGTGTGGCGGGATGAGCTCCCATCACTCATTTCAGCTTCTGCCCACCTAGCAGTTTGAAAGCATATCCTATTCAAGTAGATAAATAGATACCACTTTGGTGGAGAGACGAGCTGGTGCTTCATGCAGATGGTCAGATTCCTACCAGCTGTGAACTCTCCCAGTTGCAACGCCCATTTGTGTGGCGGCTCCAGTGGAAGGAGGCCTTGTATGATGCTGCAGGAAGAGCTGCTAGTCTTTCTGGTGCAAAGCTAGCTCTCCCTCCTGTGGTGTACCTTGGGAAGAATGCAGGCATGTACCACAACTATGAGCTAGTAAATTGGTAGCCAAGCTACTATTCTGTATTAGCATTGTAGTTTCTTGGCTAATGTAACAATGCCATACTCTAATAAGTATAATAATAATCACATCCCAAACACTTATTCACATTTTTTATAAATTCAAAATAAAAAATAGTGAATATTTAGTCTTTTTATTATTGCTTTAGGATTCTCTTATTTCTTGTAAAACTCTCTAGTTCAGAAATACTTTTAGGTTTTCTTAATATGCTTAATATTTGAGCTCTCCTGACAGTTTTTCAACAGTATTTAACTTTGGGGAGTGCGACAGGCAAGCCGGCATTTTTAAATTTTCTTTCTTGTATTGTAAATACTACATGAGTGATTTAGAGGTACATTTCAAGCTGTTCTCTTACTGAGATAGCTAACTTCCTTTCAGCTTCAACTTCTGAAGAAGATTAGCTGTCGAAGACTGTCCTTTTACAGGAATTCCTGTCCAGTTACAGGAAAAGCTGTTATTTCTGACAAACGACGTATTAGAAAGCACTAACCAAAAGGATTTCTACATTTTGCACCTGTCATATTCACTGTTTTCTTCTTTTAAATTTACAGATAACTGCACATAAATGCTAAGTATGCATTCAGATTTCAAGGAAGATGTCATGTAAATTTGTACCACTCAGAGGTTGCATCAGTTTCTGTTCATTTAGGGATTAACTGAAACACATAATTTGACCAAGGATATTTAAACTTTCACATATAATTGTAAATGTATGGAAGAGCAGGCTAGTGAAAAAATTAGAGGGATCTCTGCCCCTTCTATTTGAACCTTCTCCCCAGCATTAGCATGGCAGAGTTACCTATAAATCTGCAAACTTGAAATAGGTAAGGGAGGAGAATAGAGAAAATGTATAGTTTGGAAGCTTTGCAGCCAGAAACAAATAGAGAAAACAACCAAATAAAAGAATATATTTTTCCTTCACAGAGACTGAATAGCCCAAAGGAAAAAGAAGAGGCACAGCAAAGCAAAACTCAGCAAGGCACAGCAAAGTACAATGTAGGAAGGTGCAAGTACTTTACATAGTGCCCATTAATAAAGAAGAAAAAGTTAGAAGAAATCCTAGAGAGAGAGAGAAATTAAAGACAGAGCAGTGTTTCTAAGACGAAAACACTGCTGCATGGGTACTAAAAATATAGAAATAATAGTAATTGTGTAATAGCAATAGTAAAAGAAATAGAGTATAGGATAATAGAAAGGCAATAGAAAGCACTCACATATAGATTTGTATTTTCCTTTTTTGTATGTTGGGGTTTTTCCCCAAAACATCTCCCTAATCCATGTGTGTGTGTGTGCACGCACGCACACACACACACACGTGTGTTCTCTGTTTTAATCCCAGCTTTTCCATAATGGCTGGACAAACAGCCACTTACATATAAATGAATTGTGACCACTACTCAGGGAAATGATTTCCATGAAATTTAGAGAATAATGAGAAGCAAATTTTACTGTACAGTTGTTTACAGAAATAGAAAAGAAAAAGTCAAGAAAAAGCTTTAGTTGTCAAGATATTTCCTTCCTATTTGCAAAAATATATTTGTTTCTGAATCAGAGCAAGATCAGGAGGACTATGCAGCATGCTTATGTAAGAGAATATTATTGTCCAGCAGGTAACTTGAGGGGGGAGGGGAGGCTAGAGGGCACATATGACATTCTGAGAACACAAGTTGATCTTTTTTTCTTTTAAGCTATCACTGTAAGGCTGCTTGTTTATATGCAGAAGAGCTGCCTGGAGTGCCCAGCAACTGCTTGAAGAAATGAGCTCCCTTCCTCAGGTTGCTCTCGACTCCTGCAACTTACCTTTGCCTTCTTTTCAGGGCAGGCTGGCACATTTCCAAGTTGTAGCAACTGATAATTCCGTTTTCTAAGTATAGCTATGCAGCTTATCTGGAGACCAGACCACTTTGTAGCATATTGCAGTCTTATTTCATTTAATTAAAGTCAAACAAAAATGGCATAGATGAGAAAGCAACCTCGGTAGCTGCCAAGGAAAATTACAATTGAGATACACTGCCTTTTTCAGAACAGGGAATAAGTAACCTCCAGTGCTCTTTATTTTCCTTCAATAGATACCTAAAGAGATTAATTTTATACGAATCTATCAATGACCTTCCTTTCATCTCATGTTTCCTCTAAGCTGATACTACAGGTAGTCCTCAACTTACAACAGTTTGTTTAGTGATTGTTCAACGGCACTGAAAAAAGTGACTTATGACTGTTTTTCACATCGATGACTGTTGCAGCATTCCCATGGTCATGGTGATCAAAATTCAGATGCTTGGCAACTAACTCATATTTATGAGGGTTGCAGTGTCCCAGGGTTATGTGATTACCTTTTGCGGCCCTCTGACAAACAAAGTCAATGAGGAAGCCAGATTCACTTAACAACTGTGTTACTAATTTAACAACTGCAATGATTCATTTAACAACTGTGACAAGAAAAGTTATAAAATGGTGCAAAATTCACTTAAATGTCTCACTTAGCAACAGATCTTTTGGCTCAATTGTGGGTCATAAATTGAGGACTACCTGTATACCAGCTTTCCTTTTTAAAAATAACTTTGACTGAAATTTAAAAAAAACTATAACAGTAATCCAAACTAAATTATGAAATAAAATAAAAAATAAAATAGAATAGAAAGTAAAAGAAAAGCAAAAAAATAGAAAAAAGGAAAAGGAAAAAATAAGAAAAAGAGAAAAGAAATATTTAAAGCAGTGACTTCTGATCTTCATCACAAGTACAAGCTTAGTAATTAACTTAGTGATTCTTCACCCCCTAGAAGATTCAATGCAAGTATCTCTTTGGAATGCAAAATGGGCGGCTTTTAATTTAATAAATACATGAATAGATAAATTTCCTAATCCCATAACCCATCCCTTATCCATAAATCATTAACATTTCAATTCTGATGTCAGTAAAAAGTCCATAAAAGGTTTCCAGAGTTTTATAGTAATATATCTTATTTTAACCTTGGTCAAACAAATTTATACTTTTCCTTTGTGCTTCTAACAATCTTGTGATTTCATCTTTAACATCTTTTGGAAATAATCTATTCATAGTAAGAGACATCTTTGCTGACATTGTAGCTGATATATTCTCGCACCCTTACATAAGTTTGAAATAACTGCAACTAATTATGCATATACACTATAATTTTGAAAACCCAAGTTTTTGCACCCCCTGGAATATCATCTCACACCCCCAGTGAGCACTCCCGGTTGGGAACCCCTGTACTAGATGGAATATACTTTTCAACCCATACAATTCCATCTGTTAAATATCAACTTTGGACTAGTCACCATTTTATTCAGCAATACTAAACATCCAGAAGACTACAAATATAGCTTTCACTTTTAAACTAAACTGACCCACAGCTGAAATTTTAAATAGCTGCAAAAAACTGAAAATAAAATGCAATATGAAACTGAGCTTTAGGACTCAATGGCTGAAAGTATGTGTTGGGGCTGTAAAAAATATGGATGTAGCAATGAGGCTAATAAGAATGGAATGATGCAGGATTTTTGCAACCCAATGTACGATTCAATATTTATTAAATAAACATTACTGCAATTTGGAAGCATTCAATTAAAATATGTTCTTCGTAACACAAAAAACTGAACAAAACACATTTCAAATATTTTATGAAAAACAAATATTATAATTATCCAAACTAAAATGAATGGCTACATTAATTCCAAACTCATAATTCACCTTGTTAAGGTTATTATCAATAATGGCATGTTTATTTTCCTAAGTACTTTACAAAAATAATAAACATGGTGTATGTACTTACCGTTATCTTTGTTGCTGTTCTCTTCAATTGTCATTTGTTCAGCCAGTTCAGAAAGTGACTCATCAATAGTCTGACTCCCACGCAATGTTAAAGAAAGTCTTCTCTTAAACTTTTTCATTCTACCAGCTATAAGCCTGGCTTGAGAAAGCCTATTAAAAAAAACAACAGTGCAAACTATATTTATCCAAGTTTAAAGGAATTATTGTTATCCAAATGTATATGCCACCTGACTAACAGCAATTCACTGCAGCTAAAAAAAAAACTATTTACATAACCAGGAAAAATATATTTATTGTTGCTTTTACCTATCAATATGTATTTCATAATTAAAAAATCACTTTAATGGAACAGCTAAGATCTGAAATAAAGAATTTGGAAATATCAATAGTATTGAACTAAAGATACAACAATAATTGCTTAATAAAGAATAATCTCTACCATAGTTAATGTATTTACAAATAACTGGAAAAGTAAAAAGTGACGTCAAAGGAGGACGTAACTCTGAAGAAAGGTGACTGAATTTGAAATACTTATACAGAATCAAAACAATTTAGTAGAATGTATTTACAACTGATATTTAAAAATTGCATGATAAAATGGATGGAAAACTTTGACAAAATAATAAAAATGGGACAATGGGGAAAACTGTGGGAAGAAATCAATACAATTTACACCAAGCTACAATTTGAGGGGAAATTGGTACAAAATATTCTACACATGGTGTAAGTGTCCATGATTGCCAAGATGAACAAATCACACCACAATAAATATTAGAAATGCCACAATAAAGGAACATTTTACAAAATCAAAGAGTCAAAGAAACATACAAAACATACAGAAAATTCTAAAAATAAGAATCAAATTAAAACCACAAATATTTTTATTAGGTATAATCCCAGAGAATGTAAACAAAAAGCTTCATACTTTATTAAGATATATGCTGACCATGGCAAGAATTAATCTGGTACAACATTGGAAAAGAGAAACCATGCCAACAATATAAGAATGGGAAACTAAGAGAATATGCAGTAATGGAAATATTCACTGTATATATTCACAGCAAAATGATGGAGTGAACATTTAGGAGTAGATGCTGTTTTTATTTCAAGTGATAACAACCTTGGCAGCATACAAAAGCACACCTTTTACACAAAATAAAATTATCGTTACCGATAAAACATTTATTAATGTGACAAAAATACATTCATTGAAGTAGCTTGTCAATATAAATTAAAAATGAAGGCTTTGGGCAAGAAAATAAAAGAAGCCAAAAAATTTGAATATATATTTATATAACATTTTAAAATCAATTTGAACTAATGTGCAATTGAACAATTCAAACCTTTTCATATCCATGATCATTCAAAGTATACCTATTATTTTTAAACGAGTATACACGAGCGTGCATAAATATTGTGCAGCTTTAATTAAAAAAATCAAATGCACCTCTTGTAAGTCTTACATTTTTATTGTGCTCTCTCTCTCTCTCTCTCTCTCTCTCTCTCTCTCTCTCTCTGTGTGTGTGTGTGTGTGTGTGTGTGTGTGTTGAGAAAACATTCCTAGCGAATTGAAGTGAGTCTGCATGGTGGCAGAAAGCATAATCAGAGAGAAACCAGTGGCCTAGTAAACCACAATGTTTATATTTACTAGCCATAACTCCAAAATAATATACAATAGCTAGCATGCTGACCTAATATGTAGAAGAATATTGCAAGATTTCTGAGAAAACAACAATTTATCTTTATTTATTCCACAATATAAATGGTGTAGTTATCTGCTGAGAAATCCAGTTTCGTCTAATAGTTAAGGTGCTGGGCTATGAATGAGGAACTAAATTCTAATCCTTACTTATGTTGGGAAGTCGAGTAGTCTCTCCCTCTCAGCTCTAGGAAGAAGACAATGGCAGCTACTCTGCAAATGTTGTCAAGAAAATTGCAAGGACTTGTCCAGGTAATTCTCAGGAGCAAAAACTGATTCCAAGTTGAGTCATTGACCCAATTAAAACCTGTCTGATTCAAGCTTCCAATAGGAGACAGCTGTCCCTTCCCTGCAGTGCCCTGCTTAAGATACAGAAAGAGAGAGAGAGATCAGAAAGAGAATGAGACAAAAGTAAAATTTCAGAAAGAATACAAAAAGAGTGGCTGGGAAGAATGGATGTCCCAACTCACTTTTTTCTCTGCCCTTTGCCACTATTTACTTCAATATCCCCTCAAATTATCCTGAAAGTATGTATTGTTTAATAGCCACGAGGTAGTCTATCTCTGCTCAAACTTTTATAAAAGCCTTATTGTTTGTCTTCTGCTTTCATGCTATCATTACCTCAAACTAAAGAAGCAAGAGTTGTACAGTAGTGCTAAACCCCAAAGAAAATACTGTCTTCTAAAGATGTTGAAATTTAGTTTATTTCAGTGTCACATATATGTATATGCGTAATATGCAGTTCCAGTGAACTTACTGTTTTATCTGCAATCTCTCCCCTACCGTAGCTTTGTAAGTAGCTTTCTTAAATACATCTTGCTTTATAGAAACATCGTGAAACACAAATGACAGACACAAGTGGATATTATGTAGATTACTGTTATATATGCCTCAATGGATTCCATTTTGGTGGACCATGCAATTTTTGTTTCTAAAAGAGACTTGTTTTACATCCCTTTCCATTTCCTGGCCAACTTCCACCACAAAATGCTAGCAGAAACAAAAAGCAAGCCCACACACAATTTTTATGGATTGTAGCCTGAGCTGCATTTAATCATCAATCTGTAAGAGGGTATGAGTCAGTGTGCACTTCTAGAAAAGTACTCAGCTTCTATTTTGCTTCCAATTTCTTTCTTTAACTAGCTGTCAAAAGTTAACAGCACTGTCAAGTCATTCTTAGCTATCAAACTTCTATCAGAAGGTGGTTGTTTTGTTAAACTTGAAAACATCCACAACTATTTTTCTACTTTCAGAAAGATAAATACAATAATTTCAAAAAAGAAAGACAGCAACATCCACAAAGAATATATATAATTTGATTTTTCTATCTTTCAGAATGTAAAAACCATACTTTATCTAACCTTTGGACTACAACATTTAGTTTTCAAATGTTAATTAAAATGTATTAGAATTTTTAATAAATCATATCAGAAATAATCAAGAGTAGATGCTACCAATAAAGTTAATTCTAGTTCAAAAACTCTGTATCAAATAATACACTTTTCTTACCACTGGTTCTACATCTTCCATACTGAAATATATGTAATTTTTACACCGATCAAAAAATCAAAAGAATGAATAGAAAATCTTAAACATTCCTAAATGACACTCAAATTTCTGATATTTAAATATCAAAGGTAGATAATCAACACAGAGATTCTTGAAAGGATAATAAAATTAAGGCTAGTAGTGTCTTAAAATGAATGAGAAAAGAATAATCTAATCAACAATTGAATCCCTGTATGTGTCAAGAAATGGTTGGCATCAGCAACGGAATTCTGGAAAACACCTTACAGACACAGGTCTCCGATGATGTCACAGTTCCAATAGAGCATGGTAATTGTTCCCAATAAGAAATGATTTTTAACAGGTTACTGATGAATTATTCTTTAGGACTCGTAAGAAAGTATTGGAATGCATTTCCAATTTTTACAAATACAGATGACAAAATCTACATGTTTTCTTACAGATGAAGTGCAAATTTCTACTTGTTGAAAATGGTTTTCTGCGTTTCTCTTGACTTTCCACTCATAAGTGAAAAGGTATGTCTTGTGTTAATTTGGGTTTAGTTTGGACACAGCCTCTCTCTAAAGAGAGGAAGATACAACAAAATAACAGATATAGGAAAGTACCCCCAGAAAAGCAATCCCTGCACCTAAATCTTAACATTGATGGGGAAAACCAGATTATATCTCTCCGCCCCCACCATGCCAATTTAATAAAGAAGGAGCACAATCATTCACTTCTAGTTAGAAGAATCAGAACATGCAACTTGTCAGTTGGAGAAAAAGAAAGATATGGGGAAAAATGATCTGCTGGAAAGGAGCACACAAATTTGTTCCAAATATTTTCCTTGATTCTCTCCATAATAAGGTGGTATGGAAAGAATAAAATACATAGATACTTTGAAAACCATTTTATAAGAAATGCACTTCTTTCAGAATGGGAAAGAATAAAAGAAAAAATTTATATTAAGATACCTGAATGGCTTTCAACAATGGAAGCTTTTGCTTACCCAAATTTAATTAACTACGATAAAGTTGTGACTTATAAAGATATTTTGGATAATGAAGCAAAATTGAAAGACAGACAAGAATTACAAGGTATTGATTTAGCATGGTGGCCGTATCTGCAAATTCAAACGAGATATGAAAAAGATGTTAAAACAACGGGATTTTATAAAGAACAGACAGACTTTGATCAGATACTGTTAAAAACAGATGAAAAGGTGATCAAGAAACTCTATAGATTTCTGTTAAATTTAAAGATGGAGGAAGAACAAGTAAAAGAAACAATGATAATATGGGCAAAGAATTTTAGACATACTATAGAATTAGAAGAATGGCAAAAATTATGGGAAAGAAATATTAAATTAACTAAAGCATTGCTATATAAAGAAAATCTATACAAAATGTTTTACAGATGGCACATGACACCAGTGAAACTAGTGAAAATGTTTAAAAATACTTCAAACAATTGTTGGAAATGCAAACAAAGGCCAGGTACTTATTACCACATCTGGTGGACATGCCCTAAAGCAAAAAGGTATTGGGCTAAAATACATTTATGGTTGGAGAAGATGACTAAAAAACAAATAGACTTTAAACCAGAACTGTTTTTGTTAGGAATAATAGGAGCCAAGTATGAGAAAGATTGCAGATATCTAATATTACATGTATTAACAGCAGCAAGAATTATATTTGCCCATTATTGGAAAAATGAAAACTTACCAACTGAAGAAGTACTAATTAAGAAAATTCTAGAGTGCGGAGAACTGGATAGATTGACTTTAGAGATTAAAGAGAAAGAAGACTCAGTCTACTTTAGAACATAGGATCACTTTTATCAATGGCTAGAAAAACGAGTCAGAGAGAAAGGAATGTGGCATGTAATTTTGAATACATATTAGTAAGAAGAAGTCTACTGAGTGA